AGTGATGATCATGGTAGTGTGTTTCAGTGAGGTGCCGAGAGGGAGAGGGAGGTTTGAATTGGTTGAGATCCGGCGGGCGGTCAAGGCAAGGTTGCCGCCCGCCGGAAGGCGAAGAACACCAAGATCTTTAACCTATAGCTCTGATACAGGTAAAAATTGATGTATTATTCATTATTAAATGATTGATATTTTTGATTGTATTGTATGTACATTATATAGGAGATGTGAAGTGGAGGTGGAGTGGTGGAGTAGGTGAAATGGAGGTGGTAATGGTGTAGTGGGTTAGGTTTAGTGGAGTAGGTGAGGTGGTAGTGGTGTAGTGGGTTAGGTTTAGTGGAGTAGGTTTAACAGAGATGAAATCATCGACTTCTTTTTTTCTATACATAGAGAGGGGCATTGGGCAACCACCCTCAGAAACATCCCGTCCCTCTGTGAAGAAGAAGCCTCAATTCATTCTCTGGGTCTGGGCTTCAATCCCTACCTCCCGATCCCCAAGCCCATTAATTTGTAGGGTGACTCTAAATTAACAACTGCATTTGGATGGAGTGATTTGTCAAGGAATGATCAAAATATATATATATATATTCTTTTTTTCAGTTATTGTGAAAATGGAGATTTATTAGAAAATTATTTTTTGAAGTGTTTCTAACTTAATTAGTCCATAAGATATTTTTGTATTTTAATAAGTCTTATTATTTGAACATTTAATCTACCAAATTCTAATTCTCATATCCATTTCAAGGTATTATCGAAGTTAGCCAAAAGAAGATACAGAATGATATTGGTTAACGATGAGTTCATAGTTGGATTGGAGAATGATATTGGTGAACGATGAGTCATACTTTGAGCCTATTTCAATAACATAAATTATATAAGTGTGTATAATTTGTCAAGTATATCGGGGTGTACGCGGTGCGGTTTGGGCGGTTTGAGAATAAATTTACAAATCGAATGGCGGGTTAGCGGATTAGCGGATTGACATATTGCGGTTTGGACGATTTTTGACAGATTGGCGGATTGGAGAATATTCTAACTAATTATTATACATTTGCATAATATATAACACTAATTTGTATAATATTTTTTAGATATATATCACAAACTAATTTGTATAATATGTTTCATATATATAACCACTAATTTGTAATAAATTTCATATCTTAAATCTCTCTCACACTCATTTTTACATTGATATATCATTGGAGGTTAAAAAATATATATGTATTAACTATAGCGGAGCGGAATGGTTCGGTTGGCGGATTACAAATTTTAAAATTTAAACCGCGGTTAGCGGTTAGAGCGGTGTGAATAGATTCAGATCGGTGCGATTTTAGCGGATTGGGCGTTATTTTGCACAGCCCTAAGTATATGTACAAAATCATATTACACATTAATAACTATTTAATTAAATGATAGATATACTATCGATTTATTTTTAAAATTACACTTGTTGTAGATCAATATAACAATGGAATTGAGTTTTTATTAATTTTTTATTTTTTTGTCTAGAAAAAAATTAATAACTAGTTTTTTGAAAATACAATCGTGGTAATTCAAGAGATTGAAAAAACTATGTTTCAATAATTTTATTATTCGTAATTGAAAAATAAAAAGACGTTAAAAAAATTAAATTACAAATACACTTATGAAGTTAATTAAAAATACATAGCCCAATCTATCAATCAACCGTTAAACTTCCAAAGCGTATGGCATGCTATGACATAAGCTGCAATATTTTTTATAGAAATACGTTATTATTAAGGCAAAATTGTTGAAAAGTTCACTTTAAAAAGGACATAAAGTATTAAATTTAAAGTAAAATTTTATTTAGTAATAAGGACACGCTAGAAAAAGTCACCAAAAAAAATTTGATAAAAAATATCGCCAACACCGAAAAGTCACTAAAAAATTGGCCGAAAAGTGTAATCGGAAAAGTCGCCAGTAATGGTGGGTGGCGACAATGACCAGCAAATAGCAACAGCAAGTAGTTGCGGTGGTGAGATAGAGCAATGTGTAATATTCAACAGATAGAGTGATGAATGAATGACATCTATTATATTTCAACAGTTAATTAGTTTCATGAATTTTAACAAACAGAAATATAAGATTGGTGAATTTTAACAAATAATCAAATTGGGTGATTTCTAGAAATAGAATGATTTTAAAAGATTGACAAATAGATTAATTTCAACATATAGCTGTCATTTTAGATAAATTGTTTCTTTTCAGCTCAATGAAATTAGAGGTTGAACCTAATGGCATAAAAGATATAGAAATTAACTTATGATTTGAGTGTCTTTATATTAATTATGAAGTTAAACACTTTATTTATTTATTTATTTTTACCTCACCTTTTTTATTTTCATTTTCTCTTAATTAATAATATTATTTTGTCCAAACATGGCACTGCTATCTCCCACTGTCAATCAATACTACATCATTATGTCTACAAGCATTTGAGGATAGTATGATAAATTTATTGAGAAATTTAGTCAAAATCCTTCTATTGAACTCTTATTTGGTCTCTTATTTGGTGAAAAAGATAACTCAATTTATTCTGTTTCATAAACTCTCTAAAGGGGAAGCGCATAATTGAGTAAAGACAAAGTAAGATATCTTTTTTTTTCTTAGACAATATTGTCGGAGTAATATGTTCGTATCAAACAGAATAACATGTTATTATTTATATCAATTTCGACGATAATAATTTTTATTTTATATTTTTTTTAAGAATTTCATAGTCAACATGAATCTTATTTGATAGATGCTGATAAGATGATTCGAAAAATACTAATTTTATTAAAAATCGATATCTAAATCAAAAGTTATATTAATTTAAAATTTAATATTTTAATAATAGTAATATGCGTTCAACTTTTTTTAAAAAAAACTTTTTATACTTGTCCTTAACGGATTAAAGTTTTATTATAATGAGACTTTGATCAAATCTCTCAATTTTATTTTGATATTATAGAAAGTATTTGCGTAAAATTTTTTGTTTTTGTTAAATCAGTGGAAGGAAAATTTTTAAAAATAAAATATTTGTAATTTTTGAAACGTGAATAAAAAATTTATATTTTAAAAAATTTCATAAAATATACATCCATATTACTTGCAAGATGATATATACATTATCCGCAAAATCTATACATTCATATTAGTATTAATTTTTTCCAGAAAAATTCAAGTCGCTACAGAGTGCAACTTCTAATTTTAACTTTAAAATTCACATTCTTGCTGCTAGGTTTTTTTTTTTTTTTGGGTCTACCAAAAAATTCTTTTTAAGAAATAGCCATGAGTGGTTATTCCATAATTCAGGAGTGAAAATGTGAATTATTAATTATTTATATTAAATAATTAAATAATTAAAAAATATAAAATAATAATTAATTTAATGAAAGTTACGACCACCTTATACCCGAGACTATTCTATCATAACTAGTGATTCTAAAAATTTTATTAAAGTTTCTATTAAACATTTCGCATGAGTATAACCATGTGAATTGATAAGATATTTGATAAAATTTTTAATAAAATTTTAAAATTTCCAACATTTTTGTTTTACCATTTCCATTCATCCATCTTCGACCCAAAAATCCATTTGGCCCCCATGTTACTCAAACACTTGAAATTCTTCACATATCTTATGAATCAAAACAAAACAAAAACATAAAAAGCAAAAATGTATACAAGGATGTATGGGTTGTGAGGCTCAGATCTGCTTTGATATCAGACTGAGAAGTGAGAACAGTGTTTACTCCGCCATGGCTGCAACAACAACTGTTGCCTGATGAGAGAGTAGACGGAAAAATCAGATCTTATCTCTCTCTCTCTCTCTGAGCTTCCGGGTTGCCCCGCCATGAAACGGATCCGAATCTCTCAACTCCTGATTTGAAAACTCAGAAGAGAAGATTTATCATCACAGCCTCTCTTTAATGATGAAGTTGGAATGTAGGGGTGGTTGCAGAAGGGTCGGACATAAACCCAACCCAACTTTCACACACACATACATACATACATACAGACAGACAGACAGACAGATACAATGATCAGAGATCATTGAAAACACACACACCCAAAATGCTTCAGGAGCACCAAAATAATTTTTCCACCAAATGCGTTGTTGGTTTTTGCAGATAGAGATTAAATCATCGACTTGTTTTTTCTATATACAGAGAGGGGCAACCACCCTCAGAAACATCCCACCCCTCTGTGAAGAAGAAGCCTCAATTCATTCTGGGTCTGGGCTTCAATCCCTATCGCCCGATCCCCAAGCCCGTTAATTTGTAGGGTGACTCCAAATTAACAACTACAACGTTTGGATGGAGTCATTTGTAAAGGAATGATCAATTTTTTCTTTTACTTTTTTTCTAGTTATTGTGAAAAGGGACATTTATTAGAATTTTTTTTTTTAAGCGTTTGCATCCCGATTAGTCCATAAGATATTTTTATATTTCAATAAGTTCTATTATTTGAACTTTTGATTTACCAAATCTTAATTCTCATATTTAAGGTATTTTAGGGATATTTCTACTTTTATAAATATTTTTTAAACGGTTAAAAATTTAGTGATGTGCATATTCATATTTTACAATATGAATATTCACATCATGGAAATGTAAATATTATTAGAGGTATTTTGGTAATTATGTCACTCATAGGACTTATTGAAATATAAGAAAATAATGTGAACTAAATGGAACATAAGTAGTTGAAAAAAGATTTATGAAATAGTATCCCTTGTGAAAAATTATGAGAAATGATGAAAATAGTTAGAAAGATTGCTCATTTATCCATGTTTGATAATCTAATTTAGTATTTAAAACTAAATATGTTAAATGATAATCAATTAAACTCATTTGATAATTACAATCGATATTACTTAGAAATTTAAATGCCTCTTAAAATGTTGGCTACAACTTAAAAATATTTTAAGTAATGTAAAATTTATTTAATTCTAACTGAATTTATAAATATTCTAACTGAATTTATATACACTATTATATACTTATCCTTACCACCACCACCACCACCAATACCACCGTTGTTGTTGCCATGACCACAACCACTACCATCATGCCACCACCACTGCTACTACTATTGCCATATTCATCACCACTGTCACTATTATCCATCATTTTACTACGACCACAATTATTATTGCCACTGCCACCATCACCATCACCATCACCATCAATGCTACCGCTACAGCTACCGCCACCGCCACCATGCTATCGCCATTACTATTACCCCTACCATCACAATATAAAAATCAAAATATACAATTTAAAAATAATAAATTTTAAATTTGATTTTATATATATGAAACAACTTACTTTTAGTTTATCACTTAAATTTTTATCAAATAACTCTTTAATTTAAAAAATTCAATGTTCAGTTTTCAATACTTAATTTTCATTTTTCAGATTTCAGTTTCCAACTTTATCAAAACTACCTAAGATTGTGTTTAATAATTTAATTCAGCACTTAAAACTAAATGTATTAAGTAAAAACAATTAAACATTTTTTTTAAACTAACAATTAAGCATATTTGATAACCACAAATTGTATCACTTAAAAATTTAAGTGGTTCTTAAAATGTAGGTTAAAATTTTAAAAAAAATTTAAGCGATAGTAAACTTGCTTAATTCTTGCTAAATTTATAAAAGCTTATACATAAACATTAACATACACAATTATCACCTCATAACCGCCGCCATCACCACCATCGTTGCCACCAACACCACCAACGCTGCATCCACTACTTCTATTACCACACAATCTCAATCCAACACCCTTTTATGACCATAACCTTCAATACTATTGTTATTGTTACCACAAGCACTACCATCATTTTAGTACCACCAACGCAATCGTCATTGCCATTATTACCACCACAACAACAACTATTATAACCTTTCACTTCCACAACCATTGACACTGTTTCCATAACCACCACAATCATTACACCACCACTACCACTCACTTTTAATCTCGACCACCATCACTACAATCACTATCTATTTCCACCACCATTGTCGTTGTGGGGATCATTGTTGTTGCTGCTGCTACCTAGGGTGGTTATTTGTTGGGCCAGGATAGGCCGGGTTTGGACCAGACCGACATTATACAATAATAAATTTTATATTTGTCCAAGCCCGACCCGGTCCTAACATCGAGCTACTTCTGCCTAAGCCCGAGCCAAAAAATAATTATAAATCCCAAATACATCCATTGGACTACGTGTTAAATTTTTTTTTTAAATATTCCATAATTAAATTCAATCAACATTATATATCTTAAATAAATATACTGATATCATTATAAATTGAAAGATTTTATGTATAAATTCAAGAATTTCTTAAATAAATTCAATCAAATATCACCACAAATGTGAGTTTTAACAAAATCAATAAATATAAGTTTATATCCTAACAAAAAGTATATATTTTAATATATTATAATTAATTAATTAATTTAATAGTGGACCAAACTTAATAGAAAGTATAAATTCCAAACTCAATTCATTAATATATCGGGTTGAAAATGTTGACCCAATTTGACCATATAGGCTAAAACAACTTTCCCAAATTCTAAAAAAATTGGACCAAGTTGAACGGGCTAGGTGGGCCAACGGGCCGATGCCCACTGTTGCCACTACTACCAACTCACTATTTTAATATAAAATTTAAAAATGTAATTTAAAAATAATAAGGGAAAATTAAAAAAAAAAGAAGAAGACAAGAAATCCAAGATTTGAGCTTTCTAACAAAATAAACTATAAGTTTTTAATTTTATTAATTTAAATCCCAAACTTTTGAATTGTTTTCAATCTAATCATTTATCTATTTTTATTAAGTAAAATCAATGGAAAAAATGAGTATTTACTCATTAAACTTAATGAAAGAGTATTTTAGACATTTTGTGTATACCTATATTGAGTTTAATGATTAAAATATTATTTTTTAATTAGTTTTACTTAACGAAAATAGGCAAATGATTTAGATTGAAAAAAAATTAGGATTTAAATTCATAAAACTAAAAATGCAAAATTTATTTTGTCATCGGGCTAAAATCTTGGGGGTTTTTTTTTTAAAATTATTTATAATTGTCCCAAATAATAAATTTCAAATTTTATATTATATACATCAAACGACTTATATTAATTCTACACTTACATTTTTATCAAATAATTTTTCAACTTAAAAAATTTAACATTCAGTTTTTAATTTTATCAAATATCACCCAAATCTATTTCATTTTTCGCTAAAATTAGTGAGATTTGGTGGAGAACAAATTAAATAGTTGTGAAATATGTATAATAAGATTGCTCTTTTAAGAAACCACAATCATTACTTATATTTTCTCACCTTGAAATCCAAATGGAGTGGGAGGATGGCCATAGGCTTGATAACCATAATGCTGTTAAACGAACTAAACTACTTAAACTCGACTTGTGATCGGCTTGTTAAAAATTTATTAAAGATTAATTTTTTATGTAAAAAAAAAAAAGACAAGCTTCAACACAATTTTAAGCTCATTAAGTTGTCAAGCCAAACTTGAACAACTTACTACTCAACTTGATAAACTTGAATACACTATAAAAATCAAGGTACTTGACCTTGACCTCCACTCATGTTCAGCTTGTTAAAATCTCATTCGATATCAATTCGTTATGTAAACAAGTCAAGTTTAAATATATTTTGAAATTCGTTAAATTTTCAAGTCAAGTTCGAATAATCATAATACTCTGCTTGATTCAGCTCATTTATAACCATACCCACCCACCCAACCAACCCATTAAGTCTAACCCAATATTTTAAAGATTTGGAGAAATATTTTAAAGATAAGGTCGAATTGGATATTTGGAGCGAATTTAATTTTAGGATGGAGTTTTGATAAATAGTTTTAGCCCGACCCGCCTATTTATGAAATATTATTTTTAATTTTTAGATAGTATATTTTTTATTTCTAATGTTAAATTAAAATATTATATTTATTTCACAATTGAATTTAGCTAATTTTCAAAATTTAAATAATTATTAAAAGAGTCTATATAATTGAATAGTCTTTCAAGATTATATATATATATATATAAGAAAAAATTACTATATTCCCTTCTAATCCCACTATATTTCTAATAAACCAACAGGTCCGCAGTCTTGTAGCTTTTGTACCCAGAGGTTCCGTTTTTATATTCTTATTTTTGTAAAAGACTATATTGCCCTTCTGATTTGATATATATGTGTGTGTGTATGTGTGGAAAATCAAATTTTAGATTTGTGGATCTCACCTCTGCAAGGTCAATTTTTTCTTCGACTTCGATCTCTCTCTGTGAGGTCAATCTCTTTGTGTAATCTCGATCTTTGTATGCAATCTCGATCTCTGTGTGTGTTTTGCAATCTCTCTGTGTTTATGGATCTTTGTGGTGGTGTGATCTCTGTGTTTGCACAATCTCTGTGTACTCTCTCTCTCTCTCTCTGTGTGTGTCTCTCTCTATCTCTCGATACATATATGTAAGTATATATATAGATAAGCAAATTTGCGCAATCTCTGGTTCGTGTTCATCAATTTTGTTATAGTTCTTTGTTTTGTTTGTTTGATACTGATTTTGTGATTTTTGTATGTGATATAGTGTAATGAATTAGATGTTTTTTATTTTGTTTGTTGTATAATGCAATGTGTTTTGAATTTGTAGTTTAAAATTGTGAATTCTAAAGCTTTGACTGTATAATTTTGCAGTTTGGATTATGTAATCAATTGTTTGCTGGTTTGTGATTTGTAATATGAAGGGGTGTTTCAGGTTAATGTGCAAATACAGTAAGTCTTGTGCTACTATTAACATCAGTGAGTGGTGTAGTTATGATAAAGTTATTGAGAAAATATGTGTGAAGTTCAAGGAGTTGAGTGTTGGTAACTTTTGTTTGTTTTTCTCTATTCCTAGATATTCTAATTGTATTGTTGAAAGTGATGATGATTTGGAGAATATGCTGTCAATGGTAGCTTCTGGTGGTTCTCATGTTGTTGATGTTGTTGTAGATGATAGGAGAATTGTGGAGGTTGATGATAATTCTTCTAGGATTGATTCTACAATTTGTGAGAGTTCTTTGGTTAACAACTGTGATGATTTTGGCAGTTTGTGCCTAATTTTTATCCAGAACCAGAGAGAGTTTTGTTGTCTGCTAATCGGAAGAAAATTATACACAGTGTTGATCAAGAATTTGATGGTGGAGTGCTGACATTCCGCATTACATTAGCTACGTATCCAGTTGAGTGTGGCTTTGTAGTGAATTATTTGAAGAATGATGCAACAAGAGTAACTGCTAAATGTATGATGAAGTCATCTACGGGTTGTAAGTGGTTTGTGTATGGAAGGGTGTTGATGAATTTCGGTGTTTTTTTTATTATGAAGTTAGATAATGTGCATACTTGTGGGGTTGTTACTCATAGATTTTGTAGCAAAATGGTTTGGTTCTAGACTTGTCTCTGATATTGTGCATGATGACATTAGTGATAATTCGTTGATTCATCATATTGAAGTTAAAAAAAAAAAAAAAAAGTTGAAGAAGCGATATGGTATGGATGTTTCTTATTGGGTTGAATGGTTAGGAGTTGATAAGGCAAGACGTGGGTTGTTTAGTGATTTTGTATCTTCTTTTGACCAACTTCGATGGTACCTTGAGATGAGTATAAGAACGAATCCCGAAAGTATGTTTGAATTAGATATGGATGAAAGTAGTGGGTGTTTTCGGAGGTTGTTTGTGGCATTTCATGGATGTTTGTATGGATTTCAATTTTGTTATCCTTTGTTGTTTGTTGATGGTGCATTCTTGAAGGGGCATTACAAGGGACATTTGCTTGCAGCAATATCAAATGATGGTAAGGTATATATTTATTTGCAGTTAGTAAAGTTTTGATTTCTTAGTGTGTTTTGGTAGTTGGTGGATTTTGATTTCTGTTATTGTATTGTGAGACTGCTAATTTTTACAATTTCATGTTATTTTGTTTTCAGGCCTATTTCCTTTAACTTTTGCGATTGTTGATACTGAAAATCAAGATAATTGGATGTGGTTTTTAAGTCAATTATTGAAGGCTATTGGTTCGAGTCGGAGATTGACCTTTATGTCTGATCGTCAACATGGATTGCTAGATGCTCTTGCGATGGTTTTTTCCAATGCACATCATGCATATTGCTTAAACCATTTGAAAAGAAATTTGATTGACAAATTGGTGGGACTTCGTACTAACTATAAGCTGACTTTGATGAAAATATTATTTAAATGAGCTTGTGCCCCAACTGTTGCTTCTTTCCAACATTATATGGAGAAATTGAAGCGTATTGCCGGGAATAGTAAAGTTGATAGCATGTTAGATGGTTTGCAAAATGGTAAGTGGGTGAATACATTTTTTAGAGGGAAATGATATGGTGAGATGTCATATAATGCTGCCGAGTCTTATAATAATTGGATTGGTGAGGCTCGTGAATTGCTTATTACTTGTATGGTTGACATGATTAGGGTTCAAATCATGACTCAATTGTCCAATAGGAGAGCTAAATCTAAAAGATGGATTACAAAATTGTGTCCAGTTATGGAAAAGAAGTTAGTAGAGTCTTTGAAATAACTAACTCTTGGGATGTGATTGTTACAAGTGATGCTGTACTTGAGATTTATTCTTCTATTTATTTTTATGTTGATGTCGGTAAACGGATTTGTTCTTTCCATTAATGGAAATTGAATGGTTTTCCTTGTTGTCATACTGCGCATGCTTTGCGTAATAGTGGTAGAAATGTGCATGATTTCATTAATCTTTTTTTTTTTCAAGTGGATTGTTTTAAAGAGTCGTACAAAGAATCTATTTATCTAGTGCCTTCAAGTGAGAGATTTGACTTTGATGGTGCCGGTAGTTCGATTATCAAACCTCCTATAACGAAGA